TCCAGGCGTTTGGATCCCCAACTGCAACCTACCTGCAAAGCTGTAGCTCTAATATTGGTGATACCCATACCTCTTCTCTGTCATTGGCTGTGTTGGGCTTCAGGTCAGGCTGGTGCCATGGGTCTGGAGTGTGGCGAGCTCTGGTGTAGAGCCAAAAGTCCTCCCCAGCCTCATGCACGGACCTGACCCCGTTGGCTTTGTTGTATCTGTTCAGTCCCGTCGTGCAGTCCCACCTCCTCTCCATCCACCCACAGCGTGTCATTGGTGTAACCTGCTCATCCCGAAACTGGGAATAAGGCTATGTTCAGTGTGACGATCCCATACACCCACAGCCCAGACCGGGAGAACTGTCTGTCTTAAGGAAGGGGGGAGAAAGTGGGGTCTGTCCCTGCTTTGGTGGGGTTCATCCTGCTTTGGTGGGGTTCATCCTGCTTCAGTGGGTTCCATCCCCTCAGTTCTGCTAAGAGCAGGAAGAGCTGGGGTCTCTCACTGTTAGCTGTATCTCTTGGAGGCTCAGGGATGGAACTAAAGCTCTTACATCCATGGAGTGGGCTCCCTGTGTCCATAGGAAGGGCTGTTTGCTGGCTCTAAGAGGGGAGCTGCAGGCAGAGCCCGGCTTGCCACGTCTGCTTCCACACTTGCTGAACCCTCATCCAGATGGTAGGAGAGAGCTGGTGTTTCCACAGGCTTGCCTCATCCCAAGGGATCACTCATGGAGACGGGCATCCATTGGGATGAGCGCTCTGACCTCTGCCTTTTGAAGCTGTTGGTACCAGCGCTCACCCCATGGATCAGAACGCATTGAGGAGGGCATTGGGGGGGGGGAGACCCCACCAGCAGCAGAAAGTCTTTTACTGGCCCAAAGTGATCCCTTTCCCAGCGGGAAGGAGAAATCCTCAGTTGGGAAGCATCTCAGCTTCCTTTTCCCACCACACTTCACTTTCTGACTTTGAATTTTAGGGTTTTCTCTTTTTTTTTTCCTAAAGAATTTAATATCACCCCCCCCCCCTTTTTTTTTTGTTTTGTTACAAATAACAAGAAATAAAGAAAAGTGGCAATATTTTTTTTCCGGAAGCTTTTCCTAGGAAAAAGCCGGGGTTTGTATCAAAGTTGTACAGTTGAGACGTTTGGGATACGAGAAGTACTGTGTGAAACGCTGTAAATGGGGCAGAGATTATTTTCTGTACAGGCTGACAAAGGGGGGGGGGGGGGAATCGTTGGGATTCCCGTTGGTTTCTTGGGAAGGATTCGGTTTTTTGCTGGTGGGGGTTGGAATTCCACCTTTTCATGGTTATTACTTTGGGCTTTTGGTTGTTTTGTTTTTTTTTTTCCCTTGTATAGATTGCTGCATTAATTGAATAAAAGCAGAAAGCATCGCTCGGGCTCTGTGGTGGTGCTGGTGGATGGGAGCTGTGTCCTGCTTCCCGACAGCAGGAACGGGGCTGTGGGAGCTGCTGCTAAATTAAGGGAGTCTCCGTCTCCCTCCAGGGATGGGGCGGCCAAATGGAGTGTGTCCCTCCTGTGCTGCCCTAGAAAGTGGGGATGGGGCTTGCTGCCTTCCTTCCCTGTTCCTTCCTTTCCCTCTTTCCTTCCATTCCTCCTTTCTTCTTCCCTCCTCCTCTCTTCCCGCCTTCTTTCTTCCTCCCTCCTTCCCTTCCCCTTCTTTCCTCCTTTCCTTCCTTCTCCCTTCCCTCCTTCCCTTCCCCTTCCATTCCCCTTCCCTCCATTCCTCCTTCCTTCTTCCCTCCTTTCCTTCCTTCTCCCTTTCCTTGTTTTCTTCCTTCTCCTTTCCCTCCTTCCCTTCCATTCCCCTTCCCTCCTTCCTTCTTCCCTTCTTTCTTCTTCCTTCCCTCCTTTTCTTCCTTCTTCCCTCCTTTCTTCCTCCCCCCTTCCCTTCCTTTCCCTTTCACTTCTTCCCTCCTTTCCTTCCTTCTCACTTCCCCTTCTCCCATTCCCCTTCCCTTCATTCCTCCTTTCCTTCTTTTCCCTTTCCCTCCTTCCTTTTTTCTTTCTTCCCTCCTTCCTTCCTCTTTATGTCCTCTCCTTTCTTCCTCCTTCTCTCCTTTCCTTCCTTCCCCATTCCCTCCCTTCTTCCTCCTCCACTTCTCCCACCTCAGGGGCTGGGAAGCAGATACGGACACTGTCCCCCTGCAGCTTCCATAGTACTTGGTCCCCAAATATCCCCAGCACCCCTTGGGGGCTGCATCCTTGCATGGAGCCCCTCGTCCTCCCTGCCCTGTGCCTTCCTCCTGCAAGAGGAAGATGGAGATGGATGTAAGGGGATGGGGTCTGCCCATCCTCTTCCTGAGCTCCTCCCTGATCTATGTCCTTTCCACCACTTGGTTTCAAGCCTTGGGGCCGTGAGCGGAGGGAGACCCACCCATCCATGAGCCCATCACCAGGGCATCAGGTCAACACCCCCCCTCAGGCCATTTTCCACCCCAAAAGCTGTGTCACTCCGATGTGGCATCACCCCAGGAACGATGTTAGTCAGCAGGGAGGGAGAAGCCCTGCCCTACTTCGGGTTGACTCACCCCAAAGCGGGGTGCAGGGCATGGTTCTCCCCTCACTGTGGGGACAGTCATGGTGATGGGGCATGGATACCAATAGCAGGGGGGCAGCAGGGTGCTGAGCATCCTGCTGCCCAAAGACCCCATAGCTATAGAGGCACTGAATCCAGGGCTCCCTATGGATCAGGGAGCCCTGTGACCATGAGAAACCCTTTGGGAACACCCAGCCTCTCCCATCCCCGTTTTCCTATAGGGAAAACTGGGACTTGGCTTCAAACCCCCCCCCAATCCCAACCCCACAGAGCACCCATAGAGGGCGCCTCCGCCAAAGAACTACAACTCCCATCACCCCCTTGCGCCGACGCATACGTGACGCCAGTGGGCGGGCCCACGCCGCGAAGGCGCGCGCTGATTGGTTGAGACCCTTTGTCCATCAAACACCCCCCCCCTTTTGTGCCCCGCCCCGCCCCGCCGCGGCGGTGCCTGCCCCGGGGCTCGGCGCGCGCGCACCGGGGGACCCGGGACCGGGATCGGGATCGGGATTGGGATCGGGATCCTCCCGCACCCGGAGAAGGATGCGACCCCCGTATCCGACCCCTGCCCGTTCCCTATGGATTCCTCGCTCATTGGCAGCGGTGTTTTGGGGTGCATCCCCGGCTGCAATGGGGGGGGGGGGGGTCAGGTCCTCACCCCGCCCGAGGGTGGGGTATGGGGGGCTGGAGCCCTGTGTCAGCGGGAGGGGATGTGGTGGTGGTCCCTGGGGCTCCCTTTGCACCCCAAGGATGTGTCTCTGGGGGGATACCCGGGGCCCAGCGCTTGGTCCCCCACTTGGTTTCCTGCTGGGGGGGGGGCATCAAACACCCGGGGGGGACCCTGAAAGCCCTCGGGTGCCGGTCCCTTCCCTTGGTGGATGGGTTGTGCCGGGGGGTGCCCCCCATCCCGGGACTCCCATGGTGTTGGGACCACATCGGTAGCAGCAGCCCCCGGCTGAGCCCAGCCCGTGTCCATCCATCCTTTGGCAGCATCCTGGCATCGGACGCTTCCCTGAAGTCCTGGTGGGGACGATGGAGGCACCCCCGGATCCCCCTGGGCGCTGGGATGTGTTGGGATGCCCCACGATGGGGGGGTGTGGGGGTCAGAGCAGCACCCACCACCCCAACACATCCCTATTCTCCCCCAACCCCACTGCTATGGGTGAAGGTCCGGCCGGGACACAAACCTCACTCTGTCCAGAGCCCCCCCCCACTTTTAGTGGGGATGCTCCCACATCCGCATCCCGCCCAAGCAGCCTCCCCATAGGGTCTGCATCCACCGGGACATGGCGGGGGGGGGGCCGGGATCAGCCCCTCTCCATGCAGCCCAGCGCGGGGGCCGCCGGCTGCCCACCTGCCTCCCATTAGCGGTTGTTTTTCCTCCCGAGCTCCAGCAATCCTGGGATTTGCTGTGATTTGGCCGGGAGCGCGCCTTGGCCGGGGCCGGCACAGGCTGCCGGATGCAGCCCCGCTGCCGCCTGGGAGGAAGGGCTGTGGATGGGGGGCTGCCAGCGGGTCCCCCGTGGGGATGGAGCTGCAGGGAGGGCAGCGCTGTGGGGCTTCGCTGTCGTTGTCGTGGTGGTGTCCAGCCTAAAGCATCCCTGCTCCTGCCGTCATCCTCCGGTGCAGCACGCATCCCGATGGGATTTGGGGTGACGCTGCCACATAGACCCACAAGCACCCACTAACTCGGCCCCCCCCCCCCCCCGAGCCACACTGGGACCCTCTGGATGGAACAGGGATGTTGCCACGCTCCTAAAGGTGTCCCTATGGAGGGGAATGGGAGCCAGGAGGTGACGGTGGCTGTGCCAGCGGGTGCAAAAAGCTGCCCCAGACAAAGGGATCAGGTCAGGATCCGGCCAGGCTGGCTCCGGCGCCCTCCCTATCATCCCATCGCGCTGTCGCTGCTCAGCCAAGCTGCCCTCGGGGCTGCTTCTCCCCCCCGTCACCGATGCCCTCACCTTAGGGTGTCCCCTGTGTCCCCCCATCGCCAGGCGCCTCCCGGCCGGCGTGCCCAGGCATGCCATGGATGGCCAGGACTTCCTTGGGAAGGTGCCTGTGGGCACACGGCTCCAGCAGGGACATCCCTGGCACCGGTGGGTCTTGCTTGCCTGGTTCTGCCACCCGGCACCGTGGACCCCCAGGGATGTTGTGGTGAGGATGAGCTGGATCCCACTTCCTCCTAGGGCTTCCGCGCCTTGGGTATGGGGTTAGAGTGGGGGTCCCTTGCCCACTGGGTGCAGGCTCGGATCGACCCCAGCCCTTGGTTTGGCTGGGTTTGGGGGTATCAGGTGGGAACTGGGTGAGCAGTGACGTCCCCCTCCCTAAGGACCGCGTTGGTGGCACCTTGACGAGGCAGCATCCTCACGGCCCTCCATCCCGGGGTGAAGCTCTGGCCGTGGGGTGAGAGGGGGGGAGTTTGGGGTGGATGTCCTGGCTCTGACCTGCCCGTTCCCCCCGGCAGACGGTGGAGCACGGCTTCCCCAGCCAGCCCAGCGCCTTGGCCTACGACCCTGTCCTGCGTGTGATGGCCATCGGCACCAAGGCTGGAGCTGTGAAGCTGTATCCTTTCCCCCCCCGGAGGGCAGGAGGTAAGGACCCCCCCCCCCAGCCCTTCCCATCCCACCGGAGACACGGCCGTGCTGCTTGCCCATCCATCCGGCAGCGAGGGGGTGACTGTAGGACCCCCCCCCTACACACACACACTTCCCAATGCCCAAACCAGCGTGGGAACCACGGCGCTCAGCATCCCGGCTGGCATCCCATGCTCTGGTGGGGGTGCATCCCGCTGTTATCCCATCGGGCTCCCATCCATCCATGGGGGCAGCAGGGCCTCTGGCCGGCCTGGCGCCGGGGTGAGGGGCAGCGATGGGCACTGATCCCAGTCCCGGGGTGGTGTTGGGGGGGGAACACACACACACACACACACACAGAGGAGGACGCGGGGCCCGGCTGGGCTTTGTTGCCGGCGGCGTGCAGGAGCCTCAGAGCGGCGCTGGCCGGCGGCCAGGCCCAGGCTGGATGCGGCCGCGCTCGGGGGCCCCGCGCCGCTGGAATGCGGGGTGGGGGGGGGGGGGTACGGCTGCGCCTGCAGCAGGGTCAGCGTTGAGGGGGGGGGGCATCGTCTTCACTGCCCCATCCCCAGCACAAAGATGGCGTGGGGAAGGGGGGGGTTTGCGCTGCCGGTGCCAGCCCGGCCGCGATGTCGCCGGGTGCTCCGCTCGGATGCTCGGCTCTGGAGCGCCGGATCCAGCCCTGCCTGTGGTGTTGAACCCCTCCGTGGACCGCGAACGCGCTGTGGTGCACGGAGCATCCTCCGTGGGGTGGGTTTGGGGTTCTCCTGCCGGTGAGCACCCGGCCCCGCTCTGGTTGCCACCAGGATCGTGGACTGGGTTGGGTTGGAAAGGACCTTCAATGGTCATCGACTGATCCAGCCCCCCTGCAATGAGCAGGGAAGATGCTTCTGGAGGCTCCCGGGGCCAGGCGAGGCAGTGCCGGAGCTGGCCTGACTGGTGCTACTGGTTAGTGGGGGCACCCATGGGTGCTTCCCCGAGCTGGGATGGGTGGATCCAGCTGCAGACAAGGGGTTTCCACTGCCTGGGGCATCTCCTGGGGCTTGGGCACTCGTTGCAGTGAGCCGGTGTCACCGGTGCTCCTATGGCACGATTTAGGATGGTATCCCCCATCCTTGCAGCATCCAGAGCCCTGTGCACCGTGGTCTCCCCACATCCTTTGATGCTGCCAGACAGCTCCTGCCTGTTGGTCCAGGCAGGACCGCTGTGGCTGGTTCCTTGTGCCGGGGTTGGGGGGGGAAATGGGGGGCAGCAAGAAGCGATGCCCCTCTGTCTGCGGCATGCCGAGACGCAGCAGTGCAACGCACCGGTGGCACCGGGATGGGGCAAAGCACTGCTATGGGATGCCGGGGAGCACCGTGTGGGTCCTGCCCCGGTTCCTGCTGAGCGGCGTCGCCGGCAGAGGAGCCGGGACCAGTCTGGTGAGTGAGGCCGTGCCAGCGCATGCCGATCCCCACCCTGCGCCGGGGCTGCTGCCGGCGCCTCTGCTCCGGAACAAGGGAGTGGTGAAGGGCAGGAGCCGGCCTGGCCCTCGCACACCCACGGCGGCCGCGTGCCGGCCGCATCCTGACCCGCGGCGTTCCGGTCGGAGGCGTTCCGGGGCATCCCAAACAGGGATGGTTTGGATGCCGGAGAGGGAGGATGCAGCAGGGGCTGGAGCCGTAGGGGAATGGGTGATGGGTTTAAGGTTAAACGGGGGGAATTCAGGTTAGATCTAAAGAAGTTCTTCCTTGTGAGGGTGCCCAGAGAAGCTGTGGCTGCCCCATCCCCGGCAGTGCTCAAGGCCAGGTTGGACACAGGGGCTTGGAGCAACCTGCTCCAGTGGAAGGGGTCCCTGCCCGTGGCAGGAGGTTGGGACTGGATGAGCTTTAAGGTCCCTTCCAACCCAACCCATTCTGGGATTCTATGGTGGTGCCAAAGCTGGCTCCAGCATCTGGGATGACTGCTGATAGAGCAGTGGCCTTTGTGTGTGTGTGTGTGTGTGTAATTTAGGGGTCTGTGGGTTCATTTAAGGGGTGGGGGGGCTCTACCCTCGTTGTTCCTTTAACGGCCCCCCCAGATATGGCGCGCCAGGCGTGGAGCTGACGGGCTTGCACAAGGAGACAGCCACTGTCACCCAGCTGCACTTCCTCCCTGGCCAGGTAGGGATGCGTGTGTGTTTGGGGGTCCCGGGGGGGGGGGGGGCAGCTCCCCTTGTCCCTCATCCCACCCCATTGTCATTGTGTGTGTGTGTGTGTGTGTCCCCACCAGGGCTGGCTCCTGTCCCTGCTGGATGACAACACGCTGCACCTCTGGGAGGTGTGCCAGAAGGATGGATGCTCCCACCTGGAAGAGACCCACAGCTTCGGCCTCCCGGGACGCCCAGGGTCCGATAGCACCGAGTGCTTGCTTGTGTGTGTGTGGGGGGGTGTTTCCAGTCGCTCCCCCACGGAGCTGCGGCCGGGAGCAATCCTGCTGCTGGCTGGGAATGGCGCGGGGGAGCTCCCAAGGTCCCCTCAGTGGCGCTGGTTTATCTGCTGGATGCTCCTCTGATCCCTGCCGGGATGGGATAACGCAGCCTTGAGCTCTCTATAGGCGCTGGCAGGGCACAGGGCTGATAACGGCTCTGGTTGCTTTGGTGCCGAGGTTCTCCCTGTCCTTCCGGGGCTGATGGGGATGCAGCGCTGAGGAAGAGGAGGTTTGGGGTCTCTGCTGCTCCCCTATAATAGGGCTGACACAACTCCCCCCCATTCCTCTCTATAGGTGCTCTCCTGGCATCACCCGGGTGACAGTGGTCCTGCCCGCATCCTCCTGTGCAGTGGCCTGCCTGGGTACCGAGGGTGGTGCCGTGTATTTCCTCGCCCTGCCCACGCTGGTGCTGCTGGAGGACAAAACCCTCTTCCCGGATGAGGTCCTGCAGAGGTGAGCCCCGCACCCCCTGCACCCCCTCCCCATGGCTCCCAGCACCCCCTGACCCCCGTTGTGTCCCCTCCATGCAGTGTGCCCGATGAGTATCGCTGCGGGAAGGCGCTGGGACCGGTGGAGTCCATCCAGGAGCATCCGCGCGACAGCGGCCGGCTCCTCATCGGGTACAGCCGGGGGCTGGTGGTGCTTTGGGAGCAGAGCACACGTGTGGTCCAGCACCTCTTCCTTGGGAACCAGGTACTGGAGGTGGCAAGGGGTTAAAGAGGGGGGGGGACGACATTGCCTTGTGTGTGTGTGCCCCCATCCTGGGTGCTGAGCATCCTCTGTGTGCCCCTGCAGCAGTTGGAGAGCCTGGCTTGGGAGCAGAGCGGGAAGAGCATCGTCAGCTCCCACAGTGATGGGGGGTACATGGTGTGGGCCGTGAGTGGTGCCGGACAGAAGAGCCAGCAGCCCGTCATGTCCACCATCCCCTATGGTATGGGGTTAATAGGGGAGATTAAGGGGGGCTTGGGGGCTGATGGTCCTGTCCTGGTGTTGCTGCTGCAGCTCAGGGCTGGGATCTTTATCTGTTGGAGGGCAGGAGGCTCTGCAGAGGGATCTGGACAGGCTGGATCCATGGGTTGTGGCCGATGGGATGAGGTTCCACAAGGCAAAGTGCCGGGTCCTGCGCTTGGTCACAACAACCCCAGGCAATGCTGCAGGCTTGGGGCAGAGTGGTTGGAAGCTGCTCATGGAAAAGGAGCTGGGTGTGTTGGTGAATGACAGCTGACCACGGGCACCTTGTGCCCAGGCAGCCAGGAAGCCCCCAGCATCCTGGCCTGGATCAGCACCAGTGCGGCAGCAGGGCCAGGGCAGGGATAATGCCCCTGTGCTGGGCACTGGTGAGGCTGCACCTCGAGTCCTGTGCTCAGTTCTGGTCCCTTCACTGCAGGAGAGACATTGAGGTGCTGGAGCACAGGTGTGATGGGGAAGGGCTGAGGGACCTGGGGGGTTCACTCTGGAGAAGAGAAGGCTCAGGGGGGACCTGATTGCTCCCTACAAGTGCCTGAGAGGAGGATGGAGCCAGGAGGGGCTGGGCTCTGCTCCCAGGGAACAAGGGATGGGACAAGAGGAAACGGCCTCAAGCTGCACCAGGGCAGGTTTAGATGGAGCTGAGGAACAATTCCTGCCCCAGAGGGTGCTCAGGCATTGGAACAGGCTGCCCAGGGCAGGGCTGCAGTCACCGTCCCTGCAAGTGCTCACACTCTGTGGAGACGAGGCCTCAGTGCCATGGGTTAGCGGTGGCTTTAGTGCTGGGGTCTCCGTTGGGCTCAATGATGTGCAGGTTTTTCTCCAAGCTCACGGATTCAATGATTCATTTCAGGTCCATTCCCTTGCAAAGCCATCAGCAAAATCCTGTGGCGGACCTGCGAGTCGGGGTACGTCCCTAGGGCACAGCCTGCCCCTGGTGATGGGCACGGGGGGATGCGGGTAGGACGTCCTGCAGGGTCTGATGGGTGCTGCTTCATCCCCCCCACCCCACCCCAGGAACCCCTTCATCATCTTCAGCGGGGGGATGCCGCGGGCCAGCTATGGGGACCGGCACTGTGTGAGCGTGCTGCAGGGCCAGACCCTGGCCACGCTCGACTTCACCTCCCGTGTCATCGACTTCTTCACCGTGCACAGCCCCGAGGTGCCCGAGGGAGGTAGGTCCTGATGGGGTGGCCTTGAATGGGTGATAAAGGGGTGTGTGTGTGTGGGGGGGGTCTTCATTAGCAGGGACCGTCTGTGCCCTCCCCAGGCTTTGAGAATCCCCGTGCCCTCGTGGTGCTGGTGGAGGAAGAGCTGGTGGCCATCGACCTGCAGACCCCGGGCTGGCCGACCATCCCTGCCCCGTACCTGGCGCCGCTCCACTCCTCCGCCATCACCTGCTCCTGCCACGTCTCCAACGTGCCCCTCAAGCTTTGGGAGAGGATCATCAGTGCCGGCGAGCAGCAGAGCCCCCGGCTCTCCTCTGCGGTGAGTGGTGGGGATGCTGGGATGCCCGAGCCCCACGGGATGGGCTCATGGGCTCCATCCCTCCCATCTCTCCCTGCAGGCTTGGCCCATTGATGGGGGGAAGAACCTGGCGCAGGAGCCTACGCAAAGGGGGCTTCTCCTCACGGGGTGAGTGGCCTGGCAGTGGGGAGGGGGGGCTTGGGAAACCCCAAATGTACCCTTAGAGGAGAAAAGGGGGGCGGACGGGGGGGGCGGACATCCTCACCCCATTCCTGCAGTGTGGGACTGGGGTGGGTTGAGCTGCCCCATCTCACTCAGCTGCCCCATCGCTCATTGATGGCTGGGCAGGAGTGTGTCACCCTCTGCCCCCCCTTACCCCCCCATCTGCCGGCACACAGGCAGCCCTTGTTAGCAGGCAGATGTCAGGGCCCTGCGCTAACTGGGGCCTCCCCGTGCCCCCCCCCACACCCCGTTTCCAGGCACGAGGACGGCACGGTGCGGTTCTGGGATGCTTCAGGGGTCTCCCTGAAGCCCCTCTACAAGCTGGGCACCGCCAGCATCTTCCAGACCGACTGCGAGCACAACGACAGCCTCAACCAGGCGGGCGAGGAGGAGTGGCCGCCCTTCCGCAAGGTGAGCACCCCAGCACCCTCCTCTGCCCCCCCCCAGCCCCGCAGTGCAGGGGCACACAAGCCCATAGAGAGGATGGAGCCATCCCGGCATCGCACCGGGGACGTGTCCCTTCATCTCGGGGCGCAGCTGCTGTGTGACTGCCCGTGGGGACAACAAGGGATGCTTGTTCCACGTGCCCTGCCTTGTGGGTCTGCCCCAGTGCGGGGCTGGGCGGGGGGAACACGACACATTGGGACAGACGTGTCGCAGGCATCGTGCCCAGAGCAGCCCATGCACTGCAGCCGGTACCCAGCAGCTGGTGTGGGGGGACAGACATTGGGGTGCACTGGTGGGGGCTGCCCCATAGCGGTATCAAGGTGCCCAGCCCCACAGTCCCTCCTTTCCTGCCGTAGGTGGGCTGCTTTGATCCCTACAGTGACGACCCACGCCTGGGGGTGCAGAAGATTGCTCTGTGCAAGTACACGGCCAAGATGGTGGTGGCTGGGACAGCGGGGCAGGTAGGGCACCCCCCCACAGGCCCTGCAGCCCCTCCATGAAGGGCTCCTACCCGTGGGGTTTAGCCCCTGCCTTGCAGCAGGGAGGCCGTCATAGGGCAGGGGGTTCATCGTGCGTCCCCTGCAGGTGCTGGTGATGGAGCTGAGCGACGAGAAGTCGGAGCACGCCGTGAGCGTGGCCACCGTGGACCTGCTGCAGGACCGCGAGGGCTTCACTTGGAAGGGCCACGACCGGCTGGCCCCAAGGAACGGCCCCTTGCCCTTCGCCCCTGGCTTCCAGCCCAGCGTCCTGGTGCAGTGCGTGCCCCCCGCCGCCGTCACCGCCGTCACCCTCCACTCCGAGTGGAACCTCGTGGCCTTCGGCACCAGCCACGGCTTCGGGCTCTTCGACTATTACCGCCGCAACCCCGTCCTGGCCAGGTATGGGGGGGGGACATCACGGTGCTGGGGACCCCCTTAGGGTGATGATTTGGGTGCTGAGCAGCGTGGGTGCCCGCAGGTGTACGCTGCACCCCAACGACTCCTTGGCCATGGAGGGGCCCCTGTCCCGCGTGAAGTCCCTCAAGAAGTCCCTGCGGCAGTCGTTCCGCCGCATCCGCAAGAGCCGGGTGTCGGGCAAGAAGAGGCTCAGCACCGGCAGCCCCTCCAGCAAGGTGGGTCTGGAGGGGAGCGGGGACCATCACGGCTGCTCCGCATCGCCGTGGGGCAGGGGCTGACGCCTGCATCGCCTCGGCAGGTCCAAGAGGCCAATGCTCAGCTGGCGGAGCAGGCAGGGCCCCCCGAGGTGGAGATGACGCCGGTGCAGCGCCGCATCGAGCCGCGCTCCGCCGATGACTCCCTCTCCGGGGTCGTGCGGTGCCTTTACTTCGCTGACACCTTCCTCCGAGACGGTGAGGGTCCCCGGGCCTTGGAACCCCCCCCCACTTCCTCCATGGAGCTGTGGGTCTGGCTATGGGGAAGGGGGGCTCTGATGCTGCTCCCATCCCGCAGCTGCCCACCATGGCCCCACGATGTGGGCAGGGACCAACTCGGGCTCGGTGTTTGCCTACGCCCTGGAGGTGCCGTCGCAGGAGAAGTTCTCGGAGCGGGCGGTGGAGGCGGTGCTGGGGAAGGAGATCCAGCTCATGCACCGTGCGCCCGTGGTGGCCATCGCGGTGCTGGACGGGAGGGGGAACCCCCTGCCTGAGCCCTATGAGGTCTCGAGGGACCTGGCCAAGGCTCCTGACATGCAGGGGAGCCACTCCATGCTCATCTCCTCTGAGGAGCAGTTCAAGGTGAGCGCGGGCACCAGCACCCATAACGTGTCCCGTGGCCTGTCTGGGTGTCCCTAGGGATGGGGATGGAGGTGACCGGGTCCTGGGGCACCCCTGTTCTTGTCCTTATGGGGGTGACGCTGCCCTTAGCTGAGGGCTTCCTCAATGGGAGGCTGCTCAGGCCCCTGTCTCCTCTCACCCTGCAGGTGTTCACCCTGCCCAAAGTGAGCGCCAAGACCAAGTTCAAGCTGACGGCCCACGAAGGGTGCCGGGTGCGGAAGGTGGCCCTGGTGAGCCTGGCGAGCGCCAGCTCCGAGGAGCGGCTGGAGAACTGCCTGGCCTGCCTCACCAACCTGGGCGACATCCACATCTTCACCGTGCCCAGCCTCCGGCCGCAGGTCCACTACGGCTGCATCCGCAAGGAGGACATCAGCGGCATCGCCTCCTGCGTCTTCACCAAGCACGGGCAGGGTGAGGGCGCCGGCGCCGCACCGGGGCCGATGTCTGTGTTGCGGGTGGGACGTGGTCTCCTGCTGCGTCCCGCGGGGGTGTTCCTGAGGCTCTTTGGTGTTCCCTGCTCCAGGTTTCTACCTGATCTCACCATCCGAGTTCGAGCGCTTCTCGCTGAGCGCCAGGAACGTGACGGAGCCGCTGTGCCGGCTGGAGGTCGCCCGGCTCCAGGACACCTCGTGCCTCAGGTAGGACGTATCCCAGCATCCCTGTACCCCTCATGCCATGGCACCGGCTCCCGCAGTAACTTCTCCCTGCCTTGCCTTCCAGCAACAGCTCGATGGCAACGCCGAAGCTGCCGCAAGCCAACGGTACCCACGTCCCGCGCAGCCCCGAGGGACCGCGCTCCCCCACCAACAGTGACCGTGAGTGATGACGCTGTCCCCACCGTGCACACCGCGTCCTCCCCATCTCCCTGCCGTGCACACCGTGTCCCTATGGCCCTGACCCCGTGTCCTGGCTGCCAACCCTCCCATCCCCGTGTCCCCAAAGGGTCCCCTGAGGAGCACCCGGCCGCCTTCTCGCCCAGCTCCATCGACTCCCCCAACAGCAGCATGGAGAACCCGCTGGACACCACCGGGGACATCACCGTGGAGGAAGTGAAGGATTTCCTGGCGTGAGTAGGATGGGAACGGTGTAACCGGTGCCCGTGGTGCTGCCACCAGTGCTGCTGGCCCACAGGCTGCCTCTCACCCTGCTTTACCCCCAGATCCTCAGAGGAAGTGGAGAGGAACCTGAGGAACGCCAGCGAGGACGAGGCCCGGCCCACGGGGATCCTCATCAAGTGAGGTGAGTGCGGGGCTGGTGGTCCCACACCGTGGCTGGGACCCCCATCCCTCATAACGGGGCTGTGATCCCTAAAGGGGGAGCAGGGGCGGGCAGCACCCCCCGGGGGATGCACCTCCATCCCCTTCTCAAGGGCTGTGTCCCCCGCAGGCAGCGCCAGCCTCCCTGACCCATCTCAGTGCTCGGATTCCCGGGATGTGTGACTCGACTGGACCCCCCCGAGCCCCCTCCCCATGTAACGTAGACTCGTCTCTTCTCTAACACCCACCCGCTCCCCCTCTGCCCGGCCCCGGTCCCGGTCCCCTCCGGGCTCCGTGGTGCACAGGACTCTTCCCTGGGGCAGCAGGGGAGATCCCGTTCCTTTTTGTACACGCTCCATGGCTCCAGAGCCCCCTTCCCGGGGGGATGCTGCTGCTTCCCCGGCTTCACGGGGAGGGCTGGGGCTTGTGGACACCCCCCCTCATCCCCTGGTTTTGGTCCATTGGGAAAGTGGGGGGCCGGGAGCCCCCGGGCAGGGCCCTCCCATCCCCTGGTCTGTGTTTACATGCCCGGCTCCCTGCAGTTTACAGCCCCATCCTCAGCCTGCAGCAGGCTCCATGGGACACCCCGTTCCCAGGGGCTCCCAGTGTGGACCCCATTGCTCCAAGGTGGGCACTGGAAGGCTTAAGCAGCCTGGGGTGCTGGGGGGGGGGGGGGGTCACAGGTGGCCTTTTTCTCTTAGTGGCTTCTCCAAGGGCTATTCTCCAGGTTGGGCTCGGTGCCTGCTGCTCCTTTGACACTAATTCCTGCCACGGGTGGGGTTGGGATGGGACGGCGCTGCGGGAACACACCGGCTCCTGGTCCATGCTGGTGCTGGGAGGGGGGGGATACGGATGGAATACGGGGGTACCCCAACCCCTTCTGCCCCAACCCAGGGGTCTCACTGTGCCAAATCCCCCCCTGGGCTGCCCAGCCCGGCCTCATCCTCACAGGGGGCTGCGGTGATGCTGGCTCTGGTCCATAGCGCCTGTCCCTATGTGGCTCCAGGGCTCAGCCTGGTACTTCCCCTCTCCTTTAGGGGATGTGGGGGCATTTTGGACCCCCCCCCCAAAGGCTCTCTTGCGGTACATGTGTGGCTGGGGGGGGGCCGGGAAGGCTCTGTCGGGGCTGTAGCGTCCTTGGTAGAACCCCCCCCACACCTCATCCTTCTGTTTGTTTTTTTTTGGTAAGATGAATTTAGCATTGTTTAGTTATTAAAAATACTGGTTTTTAATATTGAAAATAAAGCATTTAATATCAACTGCCCAGGCTGCAGGGAGCTGGGGGGGGGTGTCGGGGGGGGTGATAGGACCCCCTGAACCACAGGGATCAATGGGGTGAGGACCCCCCTTGGGAGTGAGATGGGCACAGTCTTGGGGTGAGAAGTGCAGCATTTATTGATGTGACACCAAAGGGCTGTGCCAGTGCTAAAGCAAAGCATCCTCCCACCCAAACCTGGGTACCACCCTCGGCACTGATCCGTAACGCAGACCCACGCTGCCCCATCCAGCCCTCAGGAAGGGGCTGAGCTGGGCCCGGTGCTGCGAGAAGGGAGGGGGGAACGGGACAGAAGGGGTCCTTAGGCTGGGGGCTTGCGGAAGACGCTCCAGGCATGGAAGCAGCGGGTGAAGGGCCAGGGCTCGTTGCCCTTCCGCACCAGCCGGAGCTTGCGGGGATGCGCGGGGTCCTTGGAGCGCATGTGCTGGATGTAGACCTGGGGCACAGCACAGCCATGGGGGTCTCTCACCCACCTCTGGGGCCGGACCAGAGCCCCATGGGATGGAGATGCCCAAATGCTTCCCCCCTGGCCACAGCATGAGCAAGCCTTACCTGGCACGCTTTGAGGCTCAGCTTGATCTCCACCTGGCTGGTCTGGGTGCCCACCCACATGTAGACCTGTGGGAAAGGAAGCATGGAATGGTTTGGGTTGGAAGGGACCTTAAAGCTCATCCAGCTCCAAGCAGGGACACCTTCCACTGGAGCAGCTTGCTCCAAGCCCCATCCACAGGGAAGAGCTTCTGCCTAAGAGCTCATCTTAGTCTCCCCTCTGGCAGGTTAAAGCCATTCCCCACGGCCTGTCCCTATAGGCCCTTGTCCCAAGCCCCTCTCCAGGTTTCCTGCAGCCCCTTGAGGTACTGGAAGACTGTGACAAGGACATGGAGCCGGGATCAGCCGATGGAGCCATGGACCCAGCCCCGAAGAGCCCCACATCACCTCGCGCCCGTTGTCCAGCAGCATGATGTCGTCGTCAGCCAGGTCATCCTGGCAGAAATCCGAGCACTTCTCTGACACGGAGAAATATCCCTTCTCGTTGGAGCACCTGCGGGGAGAGCCGGATGGGAGAGCATCAAAGGCAGGAGTTCGTAAGGACTCGGCTCAGGCAGAAGGGAGGGATGTGATGGAGCAGCTCTGATTCAGCTGGAGGATGGACAAAGCCGGGAGAGGGGTTTCCTTGTCACAGGAGCCATGCCCTGGCTACTTTGGGAGCACTGAGCCCTTGGCAGCCCCTCCTGCACCGGGACCCACCTGAAGAGCCGGGAGTGCTTCATATATTCAGCATCTTCATCATAAGGCTTCTGGCTCCCGATGCCCACCCAGAAGAAGTTTTCAGGCTCTTCTCCCTCATTGATCACCTGCAAGGACAGACACGGGGCTGAGCGTTGCCGTCCCCTGCCCCAGTGGCTGTTGCCACCCAGGTAAAAGCTGGCACCAAGCCCCCTTTACTGCCACCGCTCACCTGCTTGCTGTAGGAGTCATCAAACATGTGGTTCATGATGTCCTCGGCCAATTTGGCCTCGTCAGGGTCAGCTGCCCTTCCCACCCAGGTATAGACGATGCCCTGGTTGTCTGTGCTCTCAAAGGGCACCTGGGGGAACACAGAGTCAGGGATACCCAAACAGGGAGGAGGGCAAGCAGCCGAGCATCCCTGAGGATGCTCCTCCATGGGCAATACCTTGAGGATGAAGCAGAACTCCGAATTGAGCAGCCCGGCGTCTGTGTTGATCTGGATGCACCTAGGAAAGGAACCCATGGGGTGCAGTGAGCGAGAGTTGAGGCCGTTGTGCCCATCGGCACCCATGGGTGCTCCATCCCGGAGCAGCACCCCCCCTCAGCAAGGCTGACCTGGTGCAGAGGGCCCCACCGTTGGTGCGGATGTGGTAGAGGCTGGGCTGGGGCGGGCTGGCCCTGTCCTTCCTCTTGCCCCGGTGGATGAGGAACCTCCTCTTGAAGTGCGACAGGAACTTGGGGTTCTCCTGCTGCTGGGTCATGCGCACGACCTGCACAAGGGGTGGGTGTCAGCAGGGACGTGGGCACCCCCGAAACACAGCCCCGAGCCCCAGCTGCACCCCTCTGCCCGTAGCAGCATCACCTCCAGCTTGCCGGGGAAGAGGCTCTCGAACTTCTTCTGCAGGCTGAAGGTGAAGGTGAGCCAGCCCATGTTGGAGGCCTCCCGGCCCTGCCAGAAGTAGACGATGCACTGGAAGTCTTCCTCCGGCTGCCTGTCCTCCTCTTCCTCCTCCCCATCCTCCTCCCCTTTGCCTTCTCCCTTCTTCTTCTTCTTCTCCTCCTCCTCCTCGTACTCCACCGGTACCCAGTACCTGAGGGCAGGAATAGGTGGTGATGTGAGGGATGGGGCAGGTCGGGGGTCTGGGCAGGGAGATGTGGGTCCAGCAGTCCCATAATGGGGACAAGCCGGGTGTCACCTGCAGAGGAAGACGTAGCAGTCGTGGGTATGGAAGTGGCCAAACTCCTCCTCGGGCAGACGAGCGAATTTCTTGCCCTCCAGCACGAAGCCCTCCATTCCATCCAGGTCCTCATTCCATTCCTCCATCAGCTGCTCTGCCTGTGGCCCCATGGGCTCCATCAGTCCCTCCATCAGCCCAGCACAACGGGGAGGGGGAACGGGACATGCAGGGGATGGTCCCCAGCCCTACCTCGCTCAGGGGCATGGGTGGCTGTCGGGGCAGGAAGAGCGCCGTGAGGTCTGCCTTCATCTGATCCTTCTTCTCAGCATCCTTACGGACCTTCCCAGCGAGACCGCCCTCCTGCAGCACCGACTCAGCGTTGCGGGTGTAATCCACGCGCAGGACATCATCCCAGTTCTTGAACTTGGACTTGAACACCTAAACAGAGGAGGTAACGCACCCACAGCGCCCTTTTGGCACCCGGCACCCCATCCGAGGAGCCCACCCCATCACTGTCACCCTACCTGGCACTCGGTGCCCTCCAGGTTCCTGGTGACCATGGCGTGCTTGGGCCGGTGCAGCATCCCGCACAGCTCTTGGCTCAGCTTCAGCGCCGCCGCCCGCACCAACCGTGGGGACTTCCTCCCGATCCAGATGAAGACGTCGGACCAGCAGTCCAGGATGTACACGCTCTTGGTGTCCAGCAGGCTCTGGAGCTGAGGGCACCGCAGGGAATAAGGGGGGGGGGGGTGAGGCCTCCATGGGATTCCCTGCCTGGAGAACACCCTGCTTGATCCCACAAACCCAGCCAGGAAGAGCAGAGCATCCCCACGCAGGCGCTGCTAGCTGAACCTGCCCCTCCCGGGGCACTGCTGGAGGCAGAGGGGGCATGAAACCAGTCCCACTGGTCAGACTGGGAGAACCCATCCTACCAGGCGCATCTCCGGCATCAGATCAGCCTTCAGCCTCTTCTTGTGCTCCACTGAGAGCTTGTAGTTGATCTGGGGCAGCTCCAGGTAGCCCAGACCCAGGCCAACCTATGGAGAGGGATAGGGACATGGGTGAGGAGTGCTGCAGGGTCCTGGGGACACCAACAGCCCCACGGACAGCAGCTCCTCACCTTGTACAGCTTGGGCTTGTGGGGCTGGAAGTCATCGGGGACACAGGGCCGGATCTCCTCAGGCTGCCCCCCAAGTGCTTCCCAGAAGTCGGGGGTCTCCTGGCCCTGTGTGAGCAGCGTGATCTCCGCCTTGCCCTTCCGCTCGTTCTTGTTGATCTTCTCAGCAAAGAGCCTGTGGGGGGAACGGGTGAGATGGGGAGTGGGGGGGCTCCTGCACTCCCAGCCCCATAACCAGCCCTACCTGGCCTTGGTGGTGCTGCTCAGCGTGGCCTGGGCCCCGCGCCACACGAAGAGGTTGAGGCCGTGGTCCAGGAGGAAGACGAACCTGGAGGATGCAGAGATGAGGCTAACTGGGAGAGAGTGGGGTCCATCAGCATCCTCCCACCATGGGGGTCCCTGTGGAGCAGGGTTTGGACCCACATCCTTGGAGGAAAGTGCTGAAATGGCCAATTTCCACCCCAGAGCTGCAGCTATGATGCTCTGGGTGTTATCCCAGCACCAAGTCCCTCCACAGGGACCTGCTCACCGAGGGTCCAGCGATGTCCCTTTCAGTGCCACCGGCTCCAGCTTGACGTTCTTCTTCCCATAGACACGGTACAGCCTGGAGGAGAAACAGCCATGGCGGGATGTGGGGCACTGCCTGCCCCACACATCCCCCCCAGCCGCTGGCCCCAGCGGTACCTGGTGATGTACTGAGTGTCCTCAACAGTGAAGAACCCGCTGGCCGTGCCCCCCTCAATGTAGGAGATGTCGTTGTCAAAGACCTGGGGACCGGGAAGGGGTGAGGACGGGAGACGCAGCAGTGGGGGCTATGGGGAGCTGGGGGTCAGCCTTACCTGCAGGAACTCATCACTCTCATCCCCCATCTCCTCCCGGATGCTGCGGCACTCGGCCCCCAGGTAGTTGCGGAGGTTGACAGCATGGATGGCAGAGCAAGCCTTCTTATCCAGCGTGGCCTCCTGCCCGATCCAGTAGTAGATCTCCCAGTTGAGGGAGCCGTTCTCATCCAGGAAGGTCTGGGGAAGGACAAGGTGTGAGACGGGATGGGGCACCAGACGCGACAGCCAGGCTGCGGACGCGAGGGACCATTGGTCCTCCCCAGGTACCTTGAGCACGATGTAGCAGTCAGCCTCATAGAACTTCCCATGGAAAGCCTCATCCACCAGCGTGGGCACGAAGTTCTCGATCTGCCACACGCAGAGGCCGGGCAGCTGCCCCACATCCTCACTGAAGAACTCCGAGTAATCCAACTGCGGCTTCTCCAAGCCCTGATCCCAGCGGCGCGTCTTCAGGTCGGGCGCCTTGGCCTCCCCAGCCTCCTGTAGGGGATGGGGACAGGTCACTAAACGGGAGGCAACCGGGTCCCTGATGCTCGGGGTCCCTTTTCCTACCCCAAACCCTACCTCGATCTTCTTGTTCTTCTCCTGGGCCACATCCGACATCCCCTTCAGCACC